ATAAGAGTTAAATCTTCATCTTTTAAAGAGAAATAGTTATTATCTGAAACTAACAACTAAGTGTGCCATTTAGAATAGGAACATAAATAAAAACAAGCTCCTTCTAGTTTTTTTACTTAGAATTTAAAGTGCTTACCTCTGTGATTCAGGAGTAACATTGGGAAGATAGGGAGTAGGAGAGTTTTTGTGATAGACCTTGTGGGATTATTTGACTTTTAAACTTTGCACATACACATGTTTGGCTAAAAACAAGCAAAATAAGAACATGCCACAATAGTATACAACCAAACTAAGTCGGGCACAAATTAGTGGGTAATAAATGTTAAAATAATGTTTCTGGGAAGATTGGTATATGGTAATACACAGAAAAATCTGGGTAACATGATATATGGGAGAAGAAGTTAAATTAGATCCCTGGAATAGATGCAAAAATAAGTTCCAAATGGATTGAAGATCAAAATGGTAAAAGCCAAACTATACCTCTGTTAGAAGAAAATTAGAGATTATCTTTAAAATCTTGAGTTAGGAAAAAAAGAATAAATCATGAAGTAAATGGTAGGTTTGATCAAATTTTTGTACAAATGTTTGTAAAATAAGACTACATAAACTACATGAAAAGGCAAATCACAGCATAGGAGAATATATGTTAATGCATATAATCAGCAAAGGATTGGTATTTATAACAATTCTTAAAATTATTAAAAAAAAAATCTTGGGACACCTGACTGGCTTAGTCAGAAGAGCATGGGACTCTTGATCTGAGGGTTTTAAGTTTGGGCCCCACATAGAGTGTAGTGATTACTTAAAAATAAAATATTTATAAAAAAAATCAAATAGAAAAATGGGCAAATACTTGAATAGTGATCTTATAGAAGGGTGAAAAAAAGGTCTATTAATGTGAAAACATGCTTGATCTCACTAGTATCAAAAAAATTAATCAGATTGGTAAAAATTTAAAAATCTGAGAGAACTACATAATGGCAAGAATGTGAAATAAGAAGAGCTATCATACATGGCTGTTTTTAATTTAAGTCAGTACAACTACTTTGGGGAGCAAATTGGTAAAATCTAGTAAAATTGAACTGTGTCTTTCCTTAAACCTAGTAATTTTCCTTTTGAAATTTACCCGGAGAAACTCTCAGAATTTGCAAAAGAAAATGTGTGTAACCATGAACAAACTAAAAGGACTTGTAGGAAAAATCAGAAAAAAAGTCTAAATGACCTTTAAAAGGATAGATATATTTTGGTATGATCATAATATGGAATACTATAACATGATTAAAATGAAAACATAACATCACATATATGCGTAAGTTTAAATGGGTTGTTTAATAGACGTTTTTCCAAAAAAGATATACAAATGGCCAATAAGGACACAAAAAGATGCTCAATATCACTAATCATTTGAAAAATGCAAGTCAAAACCACATTGAAATACTACTTCACATTCATTAGGATGGCTATTATCAACAAATAGAAAATAGCAAGTGTAAGTGAGGATATAGAGAAATTGGAATCCTTGTGCATTCCTTGTTGGAATGTAAAATGGTATAGTGGCTATAGAAAAGAGTACAGTTGTTCCTCAAAAATTTAAACAAGATTTAACCATTGAACCCAGTAGTTCCACTTCGGGTATATACCCAAAAGAATTGAAAGCAATGAATTGAAAGCAATGGATATTTGCACACCTATGTTCATAATAGTCACAATAGTCAATTCACAATAGTCAAAATTAGAAGTAACCTAGTTGTCCATTGATGGATGAATAGATGAACAACATGTGGTATATACTTACAATGGAATATTATTCAGGCTTTATTTATTTTTTAAAGGTTTTATTTATCCACTCATGATAGAGAGAGAGAGAGAGAGAGAGAGAGAGAGAGAGGCAGAGACACAGAGACACAGGCAGAGGGAGAAGTAGGCTCCGTGCCAGGAGCCCGACGAGGGACTCGATCCCAGGACTCCAGGATCGCGCCCTGGGCCAAAGGCAGGCGCCAAACCGCTGAGCCACCCAGGGATTCCCCCTTATTCAGGCTTTAAAAAGATGGAATTCTGACACACACGGCACAATGTGGATGAACCTTAGAGACATGGTGAGGGAAATAAGCCAAAGACAAAAGGAGTAATACTGTAATGATTTCATTCATCTGAAGTGCTTAGAGTAGTCAGATTTATAAACAAAAAAGTTGAATGGTGATTGGCAGGGTCTGGGAAAGAGGAGAATGGAGAATTATTTAACAAGTACAGAGTTTCAGTTTTGCAAAATAAGAGAGTGCTGAGGTAGATGGTCATGATGTTTCCAAAATGTGAGTGTATTTAATGTCACTGAATTGCACACTTAAAAATGGTTAAAATGGTGAAAAAAAACAAAAACAAAAACAAAGAGCAAAACAATGGGTTGAAAATAAGCTACAGAAGGATCCATATTATATAACATAATATATCTTTGTATTAAAAAAAGCTTTACCATCTACAAAAATTACTGTATGTATCTATACAATGTATCTTTGTATTAAAAACTTTACCATCTACAAAAATTACTATATGTATCATATATAGAAACACTGATAAGCAAATACAGAATAGTAATTGCATCCAAAGAAGGAAGACCTAAGAAGCTTGAGTTGGGATGAGAGTACACAGGGAGCCTAAGTCATATCTATATTAATTGATTTCTTTAAAAAATCTGTAGTAAATATGGTCAAGTACTGGATTTGACAAATTTGGGTAGTGGTACACAGGTGCTTGTAATGCCGGGGTTTTTTTTTTTTTGGCTGTTATATGCACTGAAAAAATTTCATCTTTTACCAAAAGAAATTGGCTTATGGAGTTAAAAAAAATCTTAAGAAAGCCAAATTTTTAGTTAATGCTTGTCTTCATCCTTAGCACTTTTTTTTTTCTAACTCCTTAGTTTTTCTGAGCATTTTCTGTGGTTTTCATCTTGAAAATATGCTCTCCCTTTGGCTCATTTGTGTTAGATAGTGGGCCAGGTTACTTACCTGTTAGACCTAGGTAAGCTCAGATTGTTGGGTCAGTTTGTTTTCTGGACTCCAGATGTCCCCAAATGATCTTAAAGATTCTTCTTTGGAGATTTTTTTGTAAGAAACTGGTATCTGGCAGTCTTACTCCTTCATCTGACTCTTCTATTTCATTTCTTTGAAGCATATTCAGGTTTCTAATTCTGTTGTTGGAATACTACAGTCAACACAATTTGTAAATCACTGACCCTGTGTGCATGTGGGGGGGGGGGGAAGGAGGGTTGGAAGGAATGATTGAAATCTATCTGCCCTGACTTATAAACTGTCTCTAACATTTTCATCTCTTTCTTTTTCAAAGCCCATGCCTCTTCCCTTCTCTCTAAAGGGAGTAATCTTTTAAAACCTACTACAAATATACTTTTAAATATCAAATATTTGTAAATATAATTTATAGAAAAAGGTAGTCAAATGGGCCTTAAGCAAATTATTAACTTCTCCTACATTTAATTTTTCATTTCTAACATATAATAATACCTGCACAATCAGCTTCACTGGATTCTTACACAATGACCATTTTAAATTATGTAGATGAATGCACTTTGGAAGTTTTATAGTACTGTGCACGTGTAAGCACACTTCTTAAATGAACTGTAACATGTAAAATTGACCAGGTTATTAGTCCTATGTGTAGGCCTCTTTAATATTATTTCCTAAAATGTGATATTCAGAGCATTGGCTCTTAGGAATGTTAATGTAAAAAGTATTACATGAAACATAGTATTCCTGTGGATAAAATATTGGGAAAAGACTGGGTTAGGTATAGTTATTCTATTTGTCTGTACTCTCTTTTGAGAGTGTTTAATAGGCCTACAAAATAGATGTATTTTGTGAGGTAAAGAGAGATTATACAAACTAAGGAAAACCCTCTTTTGGGGGATTTATGTTCTTTGGAATAGACTTTAGGAAAACAATTCAAGATGTATTTTATTGCTCCTCCATCTCTAGTTTCATTTTCTAAACTATGATTTTGGTTCTTATAACTTTGGTTTCATTAGTAATCACTGAATTAAAACCAAATTATTATTTTGTTACCAGTGTTATAATCACATAAATAAGAAACAAGTAATTTATACAACTTCTTTACAGCTAACTGTATTTCAGATTATTTTCTTGTTCCAAAAAGGCTTCTAAACTACCTAAAAATAAAATTTGTTTTTAAAAGCTTATTACATCTATATGTTTTTATTAAATACCACTGCCTATCTTTAGATATGTCATGTCTAAGAAGATGAAATCTAAGAAAAGAATGTCCCTAGTCACTGAAAACTGAATCACTTGACACTGAATCACTTGACATCTCAAAAGCTATATTGGTATATGTGTCAATTTTGAAGCTAAGTTATATTGAAATGATACAGTTTTCTATAACCATTTTTCTTTCCATGTTTTTTATATAGCTCATGGATTATTTAGGTTTTTTATTTTTCCTCATTTTTAGCAACTGAAGTCATTCTCTTTTGCATAAAATGAACACCATTATTTTAAAATATCAAATCGTCAAAATGATTTAAATATTTTATTTTGATTCCATTTTTAGGCATTATTTCACTGAATATTGTATATTGCATTTAATATCTTAAGTATGCATATAAAATTTGGTTTAGTAATTTAACTTTCTAAGAGGTTTGCCCAGTTTTGACATTCATGAAGTTTACTATATGAGCCTTGATTTATTTAATTATCCTCCAATATAAAGTACACCTAATATTCTTTACCTTTCATTTTCATTGTTCGCATATACTTAAATTTACTTGTGGGAATTTTATGCAGAAGTTGTTTTAATTTAAGGAACGATGCTAGTTTGAATAATGATACTAAATTGTAGGTCATGGCAAATTAATGAAAGGCTTCCTAATTTTAATTATTGTATCTTTAATTTGACCAAAGATTGTTTTATAGTATTTGTCTTAATTTATTGTTTTATTTCATTTTTTGTTTTGCTGTTCTCTTTTTTTCTAGCTTGTGATGAATGGAAAATATTACCAAAACCAAATCTTCATAGAGATGTCAACAGATTTGGGCACTCCGCCGTTGTTATTAATGGGTAATAGATGTACATTTATCAGTCACACTATCTCCATATTTTGTTACTCTTTTTAAAAATTATCATTTATCATTTATACTTAATGGCATTGGGTATCCCTACTCTACCATGGAATACATTTTGGCTTGTTAACCATATCCTTTATTCTTTTGTGTTCAAATATATTTAAGCGAAAGGGGAGCAAAGAAAGTGGTAGTTGAATTAATTTAATAATTGTCTGGACTTTTCAAACTGAATTTTTGAATATCTTTTTGATTATTTTACTCTTGGGTTTTTCTGTTTTATAAGAGGATAATAAAACATTGAAACATAGACTCTGTATACAATATCTGTTTTTTTAAAGATTTTATTTATTTATTCATGAGAGACACAGAAAGAGAGGCAGAGACATAGAGGGAGAAGCAGACCCCGATGCAAGACTTGATCCCAGGACCCTGGGACCATGAGCTGAGACAAAGGCAGATGCTCAACCACTGAGCCACCTAGGCATCCCAAATATCCAATATCTAAATTCATTTTCAGTATTCAGAAATTATAATTCTAGATAGTTGTTCTAAAGTGTATCTTATCCATGAACAGCTGTTTTCTTTTTCTCAAAAAATTGTTTGCTACCTTGGTAAAATGTAAAATGTATATTTAAATTTATTTTTGAAACTAATATGTTAGGGAGCCTGGGTTGCTTAGTTGGTTAAGCGTCTGCCTTTGGCTCTAGTCATGATCCCAGGGTATTGGGGTTAAGCCACGTATGGGGTTCCCTGCTCAGTGGGGAGCCTGCTTCTCCCTCTTCTCTCCACTTGTGCTCTCTCTTGCTCTTTGTCTCTCTCTCTCAAATATATATATAAAATCTTTTTTTAAAAAGAAACTAATATTGTTTAAGATTCTTTTTTTTTTTTTCCCAATAGGTCCATGTATATATTTGGAGGATTTTCTAGTGTGCTCCTTAATGATATTCTTGTTTACAAGCCTCCAAATTGCAAGGCTTTCAGAGATGAAGAACTTTGTAAGAATGCTGGTCCAGGAATAAAGTGTATTTGGAATAAAAATCACTGCGAATCATGGGAATCTGGGAATACTAATAATATCCTTAGAGCAAAGTGTCCTCCTAAAACAGGTAAAGTTTTTTTTCTTCTTCCCTCTCTGGCATAATGCTTCTCTACTGGGCTAGAAGGAGTAATGTATTTTGCTTATAAGATTTACCTTAGTATAGCTTTTAGAAATTAAAAAGTCACAATGCTCTAATTAGGAATTTTAATGTTTGAACTTAGCAGTGATTAATAATTTAATATTTTTATAAATTATTTTTAGTGTTCTTTTTTTAATTATATATGTAATATTATACATACCAATATTTTATGTGTAACGTGAACTACTTTCCTATATAAGTAAAAAATGCTTTAAAGTATACCCTAAGAAATAATGTTTTTCTAAGAAATACAATAAAATAATTTATTTGCATTTGGTAGTTTTTTTCTTTCTTTAATATTGCCAAGCCAACCACAGAGTTAAAAGATTTTCTAGAATTTTGATGATTAGTGTTTGATGATTAATGTTTTAGTTTAATAACTTTTATAAAATATTGAATAAGTAGATCAAACATATGAAAAATTATTAGTAAATATTTATTTATAAATGATTTAGATGTCAATTCAGTTTTCTTTAAATGAGTGGGAGTTTTATGCATTTTTTGTACTATAATTGGCGATCTATTTTCAGGGTTTGCTAGTATATGATAACTCATATGACTCTAAATATCTTTATGAAGAATAATAAACAATGAGTGTTTGTTACAATGTTTCTTTTAGATGTGTAGTGATGCTTTTTTTTTTTTGTAAGTCTTCCCCCCACCCCCATAATGAATACATTTTAAATGGCAGTAAGATCTTGGTAGATTGCATAATTAAAATGAGGGTAGGAAGTATCTTGAAACTTACAATTCAAATTCAATATGAAGTTCACCTCATATTGAAGATGTTATTTTGATATTGTTGGTCATATTTATGTTGTAAAAAAGTCTTAGTGATTCTTAAACAGATGTTAAAAATGTGTGAATTAAGAAGTGTGACATTTTCTTTCTCATCCTGATGCGTTCATCTCCCATTTGTCCTGCAGCTGCTCCTGATGACAGATGTTACAGATATGCAGACTGTGCCAGCTGTGCTGCCAATACCAACGGGTGCCAATGGTGTGATGACAAGAAATGCATTTCAACAAACAGTAACTGCAGTGTGGTTAGTATTTATGGACAAATGGTCATGTTGTTAACCTTGCTGCTTTCTAATCATTAACTTACTGTTCAGTAGCATTGTACAGATAGCATTTTTTCACATCAAGACACTTGAGGGAGTCACTCACTATGTTGTAAATTCACTCTAGTTTCTCGCTCAAATTTGTCAGCCTACAGTCTAGTAACTTTTACTTCCTCCTATGTCTTTTAAAAAAAAGATTATAAATGTAGTCTTGTGTGGTGATAGACATGTGATATAGGTAAGTAAGTATAGAGATTATTTCCATGGGATTCTTGTCAGACATGCATGTGCACGATGGTGGTGTGGTCTGATGTTTTATTTACATGCTTTGTGTTTAAGTTTAACTGGAGGTTGACTTTCCCTTTATCTGTGTAGATGAGTGGTTCTCAACCAGAGTTTTGTGCCTTAACGGACATTGGCAATGTTTATAGACATTTTTGGTTGTCACAACTGTGGCATCTTGAAGAGGCCAGGAATGCTGTTAATTCTGTAATGCATGAATTCTCCCACAAAAAAAAAGTATCTAACTCAAAATGTCAATAGTGATAACTTTGAAAAACCTTACCTTAGGTAGGCAATTGAAAAAACTAATAAGATTTATGATAGATGAAAATTGAAAGCAAAAATTAACGTTTTTAGTAGGTAGTATCAAAATATCTCATGTTTTTAAGATGTCAACAAATTGAAAGAAAAATTTCAGAAAGTATTAACAAGTATAGCATTAAAAGAATTAAAAACTGTAGTAGGACTGAGGATTCTCTTACTGGGCTGTAGGTTAAACAACTAAATGATGTGCTTACAGATTTTCAACTAAATGTAACATACATTATTTCTTTTTCTGAGTTTCTATTAATAACCAAAAGTATTCACTTGCTTTTAATGATACCATGCAGAGGTAAAATGTAAAGAAAAGGAAGTTTGAAAACTAAGTAAAAAATTTTTATTGTATCAACAAAAATTTTCTTCAATAAACAGTCATATTTCAAAATAATTGTTTTATGGTTCTGTACTAAAATAATATTCAAAACTTAAAATGGAGAAAAATTTTCAGTTATTGACTTAGCAGATGAAACTTTTGGTTTTATATGTATGGTGTTGGTATATACTTTCCAGATAAGTTGCTTTAATAACAGATATACTTCAATTTTATTTGAGTTTTGTTAATAGGACCTGACTCTGCTTTGAAAATTTGAATTACTTTTTAATATTTGCATTAATATTTACCTAATGGGGGTTATCTAAATGAGTAATATGGAAATAGGAGTTAAGTAAAATAAAGCATGGGAATAAGGGAATAAAGTGAAGAATGTTATTAAATAAAAATTATAGGCAGAGTGTGTTTAAAGCTCTGTTGGATGGCTCTGAATCTAGACATTGTGTTTAGACATTTATACTAAATGAAAATATGCGTACCTCAAAAACTGTTATATAAAATGCAATCAAGTATTCCTTTCATAAAGTGACCTTATACTTTATATTTTATTTTTCATAATGATGTGTAAACAAGGAAGGCACTGGGTGAGATAGTATAAGTGAGCAGATGGTATTCACTTGTAATTTAGACTTTGACGTAATGTCTTTTAGACAGTTTTATCAGAATGTCTGGTGATTAAGCTAAGCCCCAATGCTAATGGTTACAGAAAGGTCTGTGAGATTTAGTGTAAATGGTGTCTACTGATACCCTTTTTTGTTATTTAGTCATACTTATTCCAGGTTGGGTATTTTGTGCTCTAACAGTTCAAACCCGCTTACTGATCTGGTTCATTAGACCAAAAAATATCAGCCATCTTTCAGAATAACAGTCAACTTTCTTTCATCATCGATTAAATTAGCCCTGTGTGTGATTGAAATATAATTTCATCTATTGTGCTGGTTCAGTGTCAATAGATGACTACCGTGTGTAATGAAGAGCAGTTGAGTTATTTGGATGGTGACTCTAATGACACCATTGTTACTATAAAGACTGGCATTAAAACTGTTCTTGGGCAGCCCCTGTGGCCTAGTGGTTTAGCGCCGCCTTCAGCCTGGGGTGTGATCCTGGAGACCTGGAATTGAGTCCCATATCAGGCTCCCTGCACGGAGCCTGCTTCTCTCTCCGCCTGTGTCTCTGCCTCTCTCTCTCTCTCTCTCTCTGTCTTGGTCTCTGTCTGTCTGTCATGAATAAATAAATAAAATCTTAAAAAAAAAAAAAACTGTTCTTTCTTTTCTCCTAATAAGTTGTTTAGGAATTCCCTTGTCATTTTTACAGGTTATTCTATTATCAGATGATTTGAGGAAATTTCCTTTACAGTGAGCTAACAAATGTTTGGAGCTATATTCTTTTTATTTTTTAAGATTTGATTTGTTTATTCGCGAGAGACATATAGAGAGGCAGAGACATAGGCAGAGGCAGAAGCTGGCTCCTCGCAGGGAACCCAATGCAGGACTCCATGCCAGACCCCAGGATCTCTGAGCCAAAGGCAGACACTCAACAGCTGAGCCACCCAGGCATCCCAGAGCTATATTCTAATAATGCTAAGATTTATATTCTATATGAAGACAGAAAGCTGAATTAGAGAAAAAGTAACAATAAAAAGTATATATGTTCTGAATGAAAATGTAGTGGTTGAATAAGAGTCACAAAGTACTTTGAGATTTTAAAAAATGTATCTTCTCTGATTTTTCTGGATGAATAAAGACAAACATTAGTATACAGCTATTTTTTAATCTCTTACCTTAGATTATCTGTAATTTGATTGCTTCAAAGAAATTAATGTCTTTGGAACTGAGGTGACTGCAGTGTATTTTACAGGGGGATATACAGTAGTTTATAAATAAATACTTGATGGGTGACATTTAAAGTATTTAAGAGGATAGAAGTTGCTTCAACAAATTTTATATGTGTGATAGGTAAAATTGAATTTTATCTGTTAACTTTATTGACTAAAAAGAAATATTTAGCTCTCTTAGTTAATGTCTAGTTAAGCATCTATAGAGAAAAAAAGATTGAAGTGGGGCTCAGGGTTCAGCATTAAGTCCTTTACATTTTTTTCCTAAAGAGTCATGGAAAGAATTAAGCCAAAAATTTTGATCATAAGTGTTGATGACATCATGTGAAACATCTGAACCTTGGTGTATATAGGGAACTCCCACCAAAGTTCCTTTGTTGCCTATTTTTTTTTAAAAGATTTTATTTATTCATAGAAACACAGAGAGAATGAGAGGCAGAGATACAGGCAGAGGGAGAAGCAGGCCCCATGCAGAGAGCTTGACATGGGACTTGATCCAGGGTCTCCAGGATCACGCCCTGGGCTGCAGCCCCCTTTTTAATCTTTAACCTTTAATCTCTTAATACTGGAATTTAGTTGACATATGATTATATTGTATAGTAGGATTGATCAAAGTCTAACTTCTGCACTTCTTTGTAGCCATAAAAAGAAAATTTGACAAATAAAGGAGAAACATAAATTAACCAAAATGATTAGTGTCTGGGAAAGTAAAATTAATTTGAGTCATTGTGAAAATAATTTGTCTTTTAGATGTATTTGGTTTTGATAAAGTATATTTTTACTTTTTTACTACTTATCATTTCTACTTTATTTCTAGGGGTTTGCATGATAGTTTCATTATGACTAGAACTATTTCATGTGATCATGAAGAGAAATGACTCTGCATAGGCTTTATTTATTGAATCAGAAACCTGTTATTAGATTCAATAGAAAAGATTTTCATTAGATGGTTTCTATTTCAAATTGTGGAATTTGCACATTTTTTCCAATAAGCGTATTTATAGTTCCAACAACTATAGTTTAGAGAAATGAGTAAAAGAGATTCTGATTTAGTAGAACTGCATTTGGGGTTAGAAATCTGAATTTTACAATCACCTGGTAATTTATATATACATCGAAGTTTAAGAATTATTGCTATACAAAGGTGAAAAATAACATGTTTTATCTTTTAACTTTCTAGTCTGTGAAAAACTACACCAAATGTCATGTGAGAAATGAGCAGATCTGTAATAAACTTACTAGCTGTAAAAGCTGTTCACTAAACTTGAATTGCCAGTGGGATCAGCGACAACAAGAATGCCAGGCTTTACCAGGTAAAGATTTCAGTTTAGTAACTGAATTTTATAGTCCACAGATGAGTACCATTATAGGAAAGAGCATTTAGTAAGAACATTCCAGTTTCTAAAATTAAATCGATAGCAAATAAACAGTAATATTGGAGTAATAATAGTATTGTTTCTATAGGAAAAAATTGTATGTTTGCTTCCAATTCTTTAAAGATGTTCAGGATTTCTTGTATTTATTATATTAGTGACTTCATCAGAATCCTTTTCAATTAAAAAAAATTGTATCTTAAAAACAGAAAATAATAAATACTCAGACTAATACCCTAATTTACTAAATGTTAACATTTTGACCTATTTGATTTGTTTTTTAAATGCTTTCTATCTTTGAAATTCTGGGAACTATTTTTTACTGACTACTTTTTTTATTACAATTACAATATCTCTAATAAGTTTTATATGATTTAATGAGAATGTAAGTTTTGTAAACCACAGAAAAGCCCATTTTAAAAAAGCAATTTCAATTTATTTTTTACATTTAACACTCTTCTTAGTAGACCCTAAGTACTCCTCTTTTAAGTATAAAAGATAAAATCACAAAATAGAAAAGTAATAGAGATATTTAACCAGCTCCATCTTCTTGTTATACAGGTAAACTGAGACATAACTGGTTAAGTGACTTGCTCAAAGCTGCATGGCTTGTAAAAGGCTGATGTAACTACTAGCTGGGTGTTCTATTTCTGTTCAGTTTTTGCCTTTATCTCTTAGTTTTGTTTTATTATTTTCAAAGAAAAATTTCTGTGCCTATGTAATTCTAAAAAGTCCTTGAAAATCCCATCAAAGGACTTATGTCATGCTTAGAAGTTCATGTAATAAAATAAAAATTAGATTGCCCTTAAAAGTACCATTCAGACTTTAGAATGTTAATGTAAATTTTGGATTTTATTTATATATTGACCTTTAAATTTTTTAAACAGTGTTATATGCATGTGTGTTCACTTTGAAAAAAAATTAGAGAATATTAACACAGTTCTAGATTTTGAAAAGCAATAGTAAGATGACACTAAACTTAAAAGTTATATTGATATCTAAGTGTTATATTCTAAAAATCAACATGTAGATATTAGTAAAAATATTTACCAAGTTCCTTTAAAAATCTTGGACCAAGGAGTACCTGGTTGGGGCAGTCAGTTAAACATCAACTCTTGGTTTTGGCTCAGGCCATGATCTCAGGGTTTTGAGATCAAGCTCTGCCCTGGGCATGGAGCCAGCTTAAGATTCTCTTCTTCAGCCCCTCCTACCATGTGCACACACACACTCTCAAATAAATAAATAAATGTTTTAAAAAAAATCTTGGACCAAAATAAGATTTGACTGAAGGGGTATATAATATATATATTTAAAGGAAGATTGCTATAATAAGAAGGGAATTTGATTGCTAGTGTAAGTTTGGAAAAATAAGTGAAGTTGCATTTGGTAGTACCCATCTACTCATTGCCCAGGAAAGAATGTTGGTTTGGTATATTGGCTCCACTTGGCCAGGGTATCTTGAAGAATGATAAATACCATACAGTAAATACAATAAAAATCACATTATAAACTAACTTCCCTTGTTCTACATTCATATTTATTAAGCAGCAAATTGGGTATATATAGTTTGTTTTCCACTCATCTTATTTAGAGGAAGTGACAATTATTAAATGATAATTCCACTCTTTTGAAGTATTACTATGTTCTAGGCACTGTTCATGGTACCCAATTCAATAGAACAGCAGTTATTCAAGAATAGGAGTCCCCTGCTCATTGACTCTTTCAGAGGATTCATGAAGTCAAAACTAGTAACACTACGATATTATTTGCTTTTTAAATTCTGATTCTGTCATGGGTTTACTATGGAGCTTTCCAAAAGCTATGTGATATATAATTCCAGTAGATTCAGAAGTAGATAGGAGAATACATTTGTCTTTTATTAAATCAGCACTACAGAGATTTGCAAAAATGCAAAACAGTGCTACACTTTTCACTATTCTTTTTTCTATTTTGAAGACTATAATTCTTTTAAAATAAAATCTACTTTTTATTTTAAGTTAAAATGTTTTTCCCCCATCATTTTATTAAGAAAAATTTCAGACGTACAGAAAACTGGAAAGAATCTTAGAGATGACACCCACCCAAAACCCTTACCCAGATTGTACATGAACATTTTCCTTTCTTTATGCCTGATCTGTCTGTCCATCCCCCTATTCATTTATCAGTCTATCTTATTTTTTTGATGTCAGTAGTCTGATTTGAATTGTCAGCTTCTCTTTCGCAGGGAGAGAATTTGATGACATATCTCCTGGGGGCCTGTATGTAACATAAAGGCACAAGACCTCCCAAAAGCTAGAAGAGTGTTTGCAATGAATCTTTAAATTAAAATTTTAAGTTAATAAATAAATATATTTTTAAATGGCCAGTTTTAATTTTTAATATGGTCAAAGCCAATAGATAAAAAATGCATAAAGAAAAGATCTATGACTCCTTAATAATTTTTAAGAAATAAAGGGGTCTTGAGACCAAAATGTTTGAGAATTGCAGCTTTAGAATATTTCCAGAAAATTTATACTACTGCATTTAAACCCGAAGGGCAAAAGGCACTGATATATTTAATGTGATATGGAAACTGAAATGTAGTCAAACTTTATAGATCAGTGTATTAATGAAGCACTGCATTATTAACTAGTGTACACTAGAGCATAACTTTATAATGTATTTCGAAATGTTTGTTTTAGAAAATAGACACTGTTTTAAGATCAACTTGTATTCTAAGGATAAACCACTGTTATTGAGTAGTATGTTTATATGTTAGAAAGACCTGAATATCTGTGTTTAAAAATAAACATTAGAAAGCAAAGATTATAGCTTCTTTATTAAACATAAAAGAAATGAGACTTCTTTCCCCACACTTATAATTAAAGAATGAAAGAACCTAACATGTCAAAATAGTGCACCTGGGCTATGGAAATTAGATATGAGAGTAGGAATAACTTTGAAATTACTTTTGTTATGTGCTAGTTATTTTTCTTTAAAGTGATCTTATAGAATATAAATTGGACCTGGAGATGTAAAAATAGTAGTGATTTTATTAGTTGAGGTACCATATGCCAATACACTAGAAAACCTAGCAGTCAACACATTTTAATAGATGTTATAGCCATACCCTATATTATGCTCAAGAATTAAAGAAAAAAATAGGATCTTCTGTTTTTATTCTTCATCAAACTATTAGATAAATTTTGTTTAGTGAATTATATTGATATCCTTAGAATTTTTAATCACTAAAAGTTACTTAGATACAGAAGTTGTATTTAGAATTCTAAAATAACTGAAAAATATACATGCCTTTTGGTAATCTAAAAATAAGATATAATTTTTTCTTTTTTTTGATTAGCTCACCTTTGTGGAGAAGGATGGAATCATATTGGTGATGCTTGTCTTAGAATCAATTCCAGTAGAGAAAGTTATGACAATGCAAAACTTTATTGCTATAATCTTAGTGGAAATCTTGCTTCATTAACAACCTCAAAAGAAGTAGAATTTGTTCTGGATGAAATACAGAAGTATACACAACAGGTAACAACTCTACTTGTTTATATCATGGAAATATGCAGAAAGTCCTATAATCACTAGCAATGGTTCATTCCTTTTGTTTTTAAATAAATTATTTAGGGCAGCCCAGGTGACTCAGCGGTTTAGTGTTGCCTTCAGCCCAGGTCCTGATCCTGGAGACCTGGGATCAAGTCCCACATCGGGCGCCCTGCATGGAGCCTGCTTCTCCCTCTGCCTGTGTCTCTGCCTCTCTCTCTTTCTCTCTCTCTCTCTCTCTCCCTGTGTCTCTCATGAATAAATAAATAAAATCTTTAAAAAAAATAAATTATTTTTATTAAATCTTGGAATTAAAGTGGAACTGACTTTGGAAGTCAATTGGCAGTGGACTTAATCTGTATATATATTTGAGAATAAGATTTTCTAAATTACTCATCTTGCAATTTACATAGTAAACCACTGCATTTCTTACCAAGAAATCATTTCATATGAATAAATACACTTAAAATACATGTGTATAAAATTTACAAATTTGTTTTGATGAGTAATTACTTCATAACTTGAGATGTCCCTTATAATTACAACACTAGAGGGATGTCTGGGTGGCTGAGTCAGTTGGAGTCTGACTCTTGGTTTTGGTGCAGGTCATTATCTCATGGGTCCTGGGATCGAGCCTTTACTGGGCTCTGTGTTCAGGGCAGAGTCTGTTTGGGATTCTTTCCCTTTTTTTCTCTTCCTCCCTCAGCTCATGCTCTCTCTTTCTGTCTCTCAAATAAAGTAATTAAAACACTAGACTAACACATTGGTTACATTGCATATTTTTAAATTTTTTTGTGTGTCGTAAGTTGGGTTTTTGGATTATGCTTTTTTTTCAGGTGTAGATTTGCTTGAAATAATATGATAAAGGTTAGCAGAAATAAAATCAAATTTTAAAGTATGTGGAAGCTATTGAAACATAAAGCACTTGGAAACTGCTTTCAATATTTCAGGGGAATTAGAATATTTCTTTGAAAACTCTATCAAAATATATTTTATAAGATATTTCTAAGAGGAATTTATAGTATTTATTTTCTACTCTTGGGTTTTTAAAATCTAGTCAATTCTTAAGAGTAGATTTTATAAGGAAGTTTGGAAATAATTTACTAAACCTAGTTTTGGAGTACTTTAGTTCATGTATTTACTTGAAATGTACTAATATAAACTGTCATAGCATCATAGCATATTTTTGTATTTTGTTTCAAAAATAAAATTAGAACTCAAAATAGATCAAGGTATGATCAGATAAGTGATAAGACTAAATAATTTTAGATGCCTAAAATCTGTAGTTTGTAGTTGATTTGGCCTAATGTTTAAGATAAACACACACAACATACACATAGACACCCTATGGTAAATAATGCACCAAGTGGCATAATTTCTATACAAATAATGTAATTCAGCTGTTACTTTGAAGACTCTTGGGCCAGATCTCAACAACTTTGTCTTGACTTTCAGTTATGATTTTTATTTGGACAAATAGTCTATTGGTAGAAATTACCATTTTCTACCAATAGACTATCAATTTCTAGGTATTTTAGAAATTATTACCACTTACTTGCTATAGAAATACTTAAGTAATGTTTTCTACGTATAGCTGATTTTAAAGAAGCATTGAGAATTGTAATCAAAGTGATGGAGAGGGTGCAATTGAACATACTGCTTATCTTTAAAACTTAGTAGCAAGTTATTCTCTCCAGCTCTGTATTCTTCATCTGTAACAGGCTAATAATCATATCTATTTTGTAGATTTATTGTGAGAAAAAATAAACTAATGTATATAAAGAATATAAATTTTATTTTTGATTGTTTACAGTAATTATGGTTTACATTTGGAGGATTGTTATTTTTGTATCACTTTTCTCACTGTTGCTATTACTACTATTTCCAGGAATTGTTATTTAGAATTCATGGATAACTAAATGAATTTATTTGATGAAAATTAATACTGATCTTAATTTTGGAAAAACATTAGCCTCAGACTAGTATTTTAATTTTTGTTTGGTGAATGAGAAATCCTTCTGACAGCTCCCCCTGTCCCCCCCCCCCCAATGCCCTGGGTAGTTGTACTAGGACCTTTTATCTCATAAGATCATTCCTGATTTTTGATGAAGAATAGATAATTGATTTTACTCTTAACTAGTAATAGAGGAATATGCATCTGGTGTTTAAGAAGTGATATAAGGACAGTTTTTATAAATGTTGGAAAAGATTAGAGGGACTTACTCATACTCCTTTTTGAAATTTTGTATGGACACTCATTTCACTGTTAACTTCTTACCCTAACATTTTTGGTAATATTAGAATGTATATTTCTTATGAGTATCAACACCAGATGATTTAACTTTATTTATTTTTGAAAAGAAGTTTTGTTTATTTTTAAGATTTTATTTATTTATTCATGAGAGACACAGAGAGAGAGGCAGAGACATAGGCAGAGGGAGAAGCAGGATCCCTGTGGGGAGCCTGAGTTGGGACTTGATTCCAGGATCCCGGGATCATATCCTGAGCCAAAAGTAGACGGTTGTTCAATCATTGAGCCACCCAGGCGTCCCTGATTTAACTTTTAATTTCAGTTTCTAATCATAGATTGAAAGCTCTGCCCCACGCATTAATAAAATGGTTAAATTAATTATGTCCCTGGCTTTTGTAAATATTCAAAACTGTGAAGCAGACATCACAATATATTTGTTGGCTGTCAAACATTTATTATATGGCTGATATTAATAGAGTAAAAAACTATTATAATTAAATTTATATGAGAAATTAATCTATGAAATCATTTTTGTGTGAACTGTAGCTATTTTTCTGTGAAGAATGGGCCAGTATTCATTCAATTAGTACGTAATTATTGGGTACCTTCATTGTACTTGGCAGTCTATTGCTTGCTGAGAATAGAGATCAAAAGATAATCACCGGGGGCGCCTGGGTGGCTCAGTCAGTTAAGCATCTGCCTTCTGCTCAAGACATGATCCCAGGATCCTGGGATTGGGCCCCACGTCAGGCTCTCTACTCAGCTGGGAGACTCCCTCTCCCTCTGCCCCTGCCCCTCCCCTTGTTCATGCTTTCTCTGTCAAATAAAATAAATAAAATCTGTAAAAAAAGTGAGAGAGAGAGATTGAGAGAGAGAGAGAATCACTGTTCTTAAAGAGTTTAGTGGCAAGGAAGACACACACAGTTACCCTGAAGGGTGATGATTGCAATAATAGATGAACACAGGACATATGAAGAAAGAAGATGGATGTCTTAGTAATGTGGACTTAAGGAGTTTCCTAGAGTGATGCTCTAGCTAACTCTTGCAGGACTTTGTGTTAGCCAGTATATGAAGATATTTGTAAGGAGGCCATAAAAGCATCTATGTATTTATTTTCTTTGTCTTGTTTGAGAGCTTATGGCCAAAAGGTAAGATGTCTGTGGTTTCATGTAGGACAGGCACTAACTGATTTTTAAAAAATATTTTAGAAAAAAGTGAGAAGATGTATTTGTAAAGTTTCATTTTTAATTGTATGGTTATTATATAACAAATTAAATCTCTTAATTCTTTTGATACCAGGAGCTTCATTTCTTCAATTACAAAATTGGGGGACAGTTACTAATGAGCATTTGAAAAAAATTAGTTCTGTTGAATATGTATCACTTTTAAAGAGCTTATTATTGGTAGATCCATATCTTGTGAGTTTTAGAAAGTACTTAGTATTTGGCATTAGAGCTCTCTTGCTTTTTTCCTTGTTCAAAATATAATATTTTTAGTTTTACACTATAATCTTGAAATGTGCTATTTTAGAAGTTGCATATTTCAAAGTGTTTTGTGTTAGTTCCTCATCTTTTCTTGTTATTATAAATCATAAAGATTTGACTAACAGTTTTTTGGATGTGTGATAAACTTAAATTTGAGACTTTGTGGACTAAAATGCTCTCAAAAAGAAAAATGTTTTGTTTCATTAGAAAGCTGAGCTTTAGCAAAATTTCAAAGGTGGATGCTTCTGCAAGGTGACATTCCATTAAGCATACCTTTATGTAAAATGAATTATATCCCGAGTCATTCCAGTTGTATACACTTAAGATAACCCTTCCTTGGCAAATAAAGACAGACAAATTTAGGCAATTTAAAGAGATATCCTGGGTCAAATAATCATTTACTTATCGGAAATGGCTAATGAAATGTTGCAATGATTAATGGTGTGCTATAGTAAATTTTCATAATATAGTAATTTGTCTTTGATTTTCAACTGCCTGTCCAGTTCATTTACTGGGTAATAGTTACTTTAAATGTTTTATCAACGGCTTCATTTTTCTATTTCTCTCCTCTTCCTCTCAGATCCTTATCATGATGAGTTAGGGAGTAATATTTCATTTTAAATGACTTGTCTTTACTATAGATAGTCGGAAATGTAGGCAGAGTCGCTGTAATGTGAAAGACAATCATTAATTTGAAATATCTATGTTGGATTGACTCCTGCTGTTATTATCAAGAACTGTAAAAATGTTGTAGCTTTTTGTATCAAAATATCTTTCAGAATAATGTATGAAATATGTAGTGATGACAAGACAAAGCAGTATGTGTATTTTTATAATTAGAAACATTTATTAAGTACTATCTCTGTCTCAGGAATTGGATGGTGGAAAATAACCATATCTGTTTTAATGAACTTTTTGTTAATAAAATTTACTGATTACCTACTATCTGTATTCTGCTAGGTGATAAGAGATCTGTCATAATGAATATTCATAGAGATTTTAATTGTATCTAAGAAATATTTGTTGAGTGTTTACTATGAAATTTATTGTAGTTATACGCCTTGCAAATTTCTAGGTCTATAGCTATCTTTATAAGTTCTGTAGGACCATTTGTATAACATACTTAGAATAAACACTGGATCTATATATCTTATTTCTGTATGTTAAACACTTAAATGGAGACACATATTTCTCTCTATCCTGACAGTCTGCAATATAAAAAGGGTAATGTGGGGTTTTGAAATCATCTCACATTATAATATTATTAACATAGTAACTTAGAAAATAAATATATTATGTATATTAAGGTAGAAGTGTTTAGGAATAATGTCAGCAAGTTGACAGAATGGAAATTTCCAGCTCTTGTCCCCTCACAGAAACATTGGTTTGAACAACCATTCATATACAAAAATGCAAGAGCTAGGTAATTAATCTAGGTAAGAGATTATAGCACTCAGGAGAAGTAGAAATAAGAAAGGACAGTTTCACAATACCTGTATCATCCCTCCCCTAAGCTCATGCAGGACAGTGAAGCATGATGAGAGATAACTTTCTGCAAAGGGGAAGGAGAGTGAAGTGAGCACTTGACTTTGCTTCTGACCCCAGTTCCAGGCCTTCCCCGGTGAATCCCAGTGCCTGATTGGTTCCTACTGACCCAGGCACCAGGCATACTCCAGACTGACACCCATGGCCTCGTACTCCTGGCTGTCCGCCTGCAGCTCTAGGCTCCAGGAAACCTAATGTCTATGACCTTCCCAGTATACTCTAGCACTGGGCTGGTTCCTGTGGAGTCAAGGCCAGGCTCACCCCTGGAAACTCAAGCTTCAGGCCTTTCCCTGTGTACCCAACCTTCAGGCTTACCCCTGTGGTCCCAGGTCCCAGGCCCATCCTTCATGGACTCAGAACCAGGCTTGCCCTACTGAACCCTGGCACCAGGCTAGTCCCCACAGACTCATGACCAGACCAGGTCCATACCTATGAGTTCAGGTGCCATTCTCACCCTAGCACTAAGCTGGTATCCATGGACTTAGGGTCAAAGGTTATCCCAGTGTCATGTTAACCTCTAGTTTCCTTCAGCTCAAGAGATTCAGGCTCCAGATTGGCCCATGTGGGCCCAGCTGTAGGCCTGCCACAATGGATATAGGCTCCAGATGCCCTCATGGATCTAGTCACCATGCCTGCATCAGTGGACCCTTGTACCAGGTGGTGCCCATACGCTCTGGATCCAGGCCTGTACCGGCAGACACAGATTCTAGGTCCACTGCCATGAACCCAGGCAGTTGGCCTGCTCATGTGGATGCAAGCTCTAGACCTACTGCAGTGGTCCTAGGCTCTAGGCTCGCCCCTCTGTATCCAGACACCAGGCAGGCCCCTGTGGATTCAGACTCTAGGCCTGCTTGCCCACTGACTTAGGTACGAGGCTAGCCTAGCTGAGTCCTCCGGTAGTAAGCCTGCCTTTGGATTCTATCGACCATATAGACCTTTAGAATTTCTGGATAGGCTGAATGATGAGGGGCTTTCCCTACTGAAGTCTGTCTGTAAAGATAGAAAGAAGTAGTCACTTCTGCAAATGAGACACGAATGCAAGGCCATAAGGGTCACAAAAAATCAGGGAAATACGACACTATCAAAGCAACAGAATAAAGTACCAGTAACTGACCCTAAGTAAATGGAGAGCTACAAACTGCCTGACAAAGAATTCAAAATAATCATCTAAAAGAATAGACATATTCCCAAAGAGGATATTCAAGTGGCAACAACTATGATAGAAAGTTTGACATCATCAATCATCACGGAAATACAAATCAAAATCAAAGTGACACAGCATCTCACTAACCTGTTAAAGTGGCTGTTAACAAAAAGAAAAGGGATAAGTTGACAAAGATGTGTAGAAAAAGGAATCCTGTACACTGTTGGTGGGAATGTAAATTGGTATAGTCAAATTAAAAAACAATATTAGTTTCCTCAAAAAATTAAAAATAGAACTACTATGTGACCCAACAATCCCATATATATAGGATATATCCAGAGGGTGTGTGTATATATATATATATATATATATATATATATATATCCATCCAAAGAGAATGTAAACAGGGTATCAGTGAGATACCCTGCATGCCCATGTTCATTGCAGCATTATTCACAATAGCTAAGGGATGGAAATAGCCTGTGTTCATGGATGGGTCAATGATTAAAAAAAAAAGTAAATATATATAGTGTATTATGGAATATTATTTAGCCTTACAAAAGTAAGAAATCTTCCCATTTGCAACAACATGCATAAACCTAGAGGACATTATGCTAGGTGAACTATGCCAGATGCAGAGAGAAAAATACTACATTGATTGTAATTATATGTGAAATCTAAAAAAGTCAAACTTCATAAAAGAAGATAGTAGAATGGTGGTGGTTGCCAGGGCAAGGGACGAGGGAAATGTGGAGATGTAGGACAAAAGATACAAAGTTTCAATTATACAGGATAAATAAGTTCTAGAGATTTAATGTATAGCATGGTTACTATAGTTAATAATACTGTATTGTATACTTGAAATTTAAGAGACTAGATCTTAAATGTTTCACCACAAATAAAAAGGTAACTGTGTGAAGTGATGGGTAAGCTAATTAGCTTGATTGTAGTGATCATTTCATGTTGTTTGCATGTACTAAAACATCAAATTGTGTACCTTAAATATATACAATTTTGTCAATTATCACTGAAGGAAGTTAGAAAAAAAATTTACCCCCCCCCCATGTAGTTCTAAAGCAGAAATAAGAAAATAAAAAGATAGAGTTGTTTATAATCTAATAGAATTTTGTAAAGAGAGTAGCTTGGACCAAAAATATATCATTTTAAAATTATCATATGAATAAACACATTTTAAAATTGATTAATGGTTAAAAATAAGATCTATAGAAGATATTTTCTTTTCAAGCTGCTTTTTGAAATATTAATGAGAGCACTAAGAATATTTAGTTCTATGGTATTTAGCAATCTATTAAATTTTAGGCAAAGGAGTCAGATTTTATCATAATGTGGAAGTAGATGACATAACTTTATCTAAAATTGCATGAAAGTTCTTATGTACTAGACAAGTCTGAACTAGCAGTTATTCTTCTTGGTCCTTCGTGAACATGTTATGAAGTCTTCACTCTCCCCTATATACAGTTTGTTGATTTTGTTTCCTGTTCTCTCACAGTGCATGTAATGGCAACTTAGCTGTAGATTCTTATCTCCAGAACTGATTAAACTGGTAACAATAGTAGCAGTAACAGAGCAACAGCAGCAGCAGCAGCAATATGTTAATTTTTTCATAATCTTGCCTCATAAGGTAGGTATTTATATCAGATATTTATAACCTTATTTTGTAGAAGAGGAAACTGAAGTTCACAAGGACTAAATAACTGACCCCAGTCATGTAGCTTGAGTGCAGAATCTGTGTTTGGAAAATCGTGTTCTGTTCTGTATCATTCTCCAAAATGTGCTGGAATTGTTAATTACCCTTGGTCCAAGAAGTCATTAGAAAGGCAGTTCTATATGTTTTTAAATGTCATTTTTAATGATAATGAACTATTTGCTAAGGAATATGACAGTATTTTTATATCTAACTTTTTTTAATGCTCCTTTTGCTGTTGTTTACAGAAAGTATCACCGTGGGTAGGCTTACGCAAGATCAATATATCCTACTGGGGATGGGAAGACATGTCTCCTTTTACAAACACAACACTGCAGTGGCTTCCTGGTGAACCAAACGATTCTGGATTCTGTGCATATCTAGAAAAGGCTGCAGTGGCAGGCCTAAAAGCTAATCCTTGTACATCTATGGCAGATGGCCTTGTCTGTGAAAAACCTGTTGGTAAGTAGTAAACTAGTAATTCTTTAAAAATATTCTGTTTCCAACTTCTCTTCCTACCACCCCCTTCCACTTGTGAGAGTCTCTGTGCCTGAAGTAACTTTCACTATCATTTTATGATGTTGATTTCCTGATATTTTGGTAAATTGTAGTTTATCCACTTTTCCCACTTACTCTTAGTGACCTCAGCATTAACTTATGAAAATAGCAAAATTTTATTCTTTAATATGATCTTTATTTCTTGGTTGAATCTATTCTTAATTTTGTTAACATCTTTTACTTTTATAATAACAGTGTGTGGAAGAAAGATTTATTTTTAAGATTAACAACTAATTTAGAATTCTTTTCCTATCATAGAGATCTATTTAATTCGGCAAAGTAAAAAGAAACTTTTCTGGGTTTTATTTTATTTTTATTTTTTTGCATCATATGTCATTTTGTGGTGATTGACCTTTACTATTTTTATATTGGACATGGCATTCAAACCCCAACCCGTACCCGTTGCAATTTTTTATTTGGTTTTATTAGCCAGTATAAAATGTTAGAAGTGGATATTGTTTTTTTTAAGTTTTTATTTAGTTAACATACAGTGTAATATTTGTTTCAGGTGTACAGATAGGTGATTCAAGTCTTCCAAACAACACCTGATGCTCATCAAGACAAATGCCCTCCTTAATCCCATCACCTGTTTCACACATCCTACCCTTCCCCCTTCCCCTTTGGTCACCACCAGTTTGTACTCTATAGTTGAAAGTCTGTTTTTTTATTTGTATCTCTCTCTGTTTTGTTTTGTTTCTTAAATTCCACATCTAAGTGCAATCATATGGTATTTCACTTGAAATGGATTTTTGTTAAGTAAGAAAGGAACATTGAATTTTCTTTTTAAATATTTTTTATTGTGTAAAATATACATAATATAAAATTTACCATTTTAACCATTTTAAAATGTAGAGTTCAGTGTTACTAAGTGCATCAACATTATTGTGAATCAATCAACACTATATATCTCTAGAACTTTCTCATCTTCCCAAATTCCATACTCATTAAGTAATAACTCTCCATAACTCCCTCCTCCAGCCCCTGACAACAACCACCTTCTACTTTGTTTCTGAGTTTGACTAATCTAGGTACCTCATATAGATGGAATCATAAGGTATATGAACTTTTATGGCTGGCTTATTTCCTTTAACATAATGTCTTCAAGGTTCATCCCTATGGTAGCATATGTTAGAATTTCCTTCCATTTTTAGCCTGAATAATTATCCATTTTATATACACCTACAACATTTTGTTTATCCATTCATCAATAAATGTGTATTTATTTGAGTTGCTTTTACTTATTGGCTATTGTGAGTAATGATGCTATGAACAAGGGTATACAAATATATTTTCCAGTTCCAATTTCACATCTTTTGGGTATATAGCCAGAAGTGGAATTGCTGTATCATATGGTAATTCTATGTTTAATTTTTTTGAGGAATTGTCATACTGTTTGCCATGGAAGTTGTACCATTTTACATTCCTACCAGCAATGTCAAGGTTCCAATTTCTTCACATCCATGCTAGTATTTTATGTTTTTAAAAAGATTTTATTTATTTATTTGAGAGAGAGAGAGTGAGCGAGAGAGAGAACACAAGTAGGGGGAGTGGCAAAGGCAGACTGAGCCACCCAGGCACCTCTTCTTGCTAATATTAAAAAAAAAATTATCCTAATGGGAGTGGTATTCTATTTCATGTGAAGATTTTACAGCATATTGTTTTATTTTTATTGTTTGTTTATATCAGAGACGTGTTTACTGACAGGGCATTTGTTTTGATAAGGTATGGAATGTTTATGGAAAAATTTGTGGCAGGAAAGTAAATAATGATAGTATCTGTAGTATTTATCCAAAGATAGAAAACTATGTCATGGGCTACATTTCTACTTACAAGTTTTTAAGTTATGTAACTTTATGTACTTTGTTAAAGGATTAAAATTCTCCAAAGAATTTTAATTTTCAAATTTGATAATAAATTCAAGAAGTATTGATATCTCATTTTCATTTTCATTTACCTTATCATGTATTTTTTGCTATAATTTCTATCCCATACTTGGCTTACTTGAAACATTCCCTAAATAGCAAAAGGAATGAAACCCATATACCTGTGTTAAAATACAGTTAACAAATAAAATAATTATGTTTGTTGATTTATTCCAGTTAGTCCAAATCAAAATGCCAGGCCTTGCAAAAAGCCATGTTCTCTAAGGACATCCTGCTCCAACTGTACAAGCAACGGCATGGAGTGTATGTGGTGCAGTAGTACCAGACGATGCGTTGACTCTAATGCTTACATTATCTCTTTTCCGTATGGACAGTGTCTGGAGTGGCAAACTGCCACCTGCTCTCGTAAGTATTTATCTAGAGTGACTTTTTATTTAAAGGCATCATAAATTAGTTTTCTGTGGTGGAAGGAGGTATTAAATATTTGAAGAAGTTTTTAAGATGGGAAAAACTTGTAGCTAGTTTTAAAACCTATTAATAGTATAACCCCCAGATTTATACCATTATTTTGAATTTTACTAATTATTTTACCCTGCACACACACAAAGTCACACATTTTGCCACATTTGTGCTCTCTCCAACTCTGAGTGTATATTGCAAATAGTGTAACATTTCAAGAAAGTGCTTATTACTGCAAGGGACACATACTGCTTTGTTGTGTCCTTTGCTTCTCCAGTGTCCTTTGTTCTAGCACTGTTCCCATTCCCATGTCTTACGTGACTGATATTTTTAAAGACTTGCATAACACTACTGATAGCCCCTGGTGTCCTTATAGGATTTTGAGGCCACATGCAGCTTTTTTTTTTTGGCTTGGGAAAATGTAGAAGCTGCGGGTCTCAGCTAGCTTTGTGCTAGCAGAACGTAGAGTTTATCTTTCCATAATCTATCCTCTGACATTGGGCCTCATCAAAAAAATGCCTTTCCAACAGGGACATGAATTAGTTGGTCTGTTCAGATTTATAATAAGAAGGATGGAAGGATTATTTACTTCCATTGCTCTTACTATCTGCTTTTCAATGTTGAATCAATTCATTCATGCCACACTAATTGGGGTCTGTCCCTCCTGTGACTGATCTACACTTTACATCCTTTTGGGGGATATACTCTGCAGGTGCCTAGGGTCACCGTTCTACAACCACAGTTAGCTACAGAATCACCTTAGATAAAATTGGAGTTCAAGTGTATGTTCATCCAGAAATCCTTTATTTAGACAAAGTAAAACATCTACTCACTTGCTTAAATCCAAATAGGCACAGATGAAATGAGAGGAATATTTTGTTCCTCTTCATTTCCACACTTCCCAGCACCCGAATGTCTGCAAAGCTTACCGGGAGTCCTTAGGTTTCTTTAGTTTTGTTTTTCTTGCCAGGACTTTTACCTGCAATAAGCTGGGTTTATAATGAGTGAATCCGATTAATGGGTGTCAGATCCCAAAGGAACTGCACTGACAGTGCCATGAAAGGAGACAAAACAGCAGCCACTTGAAGCCCCGTGTGGTTTAAACTCAGGAATATGTTGTAGTTGAAGGGTGTTCAATGGAATAGGGAAGGGGAAGATTTAATCTTTATAAGGCAATACTTTTCAGGGGGTCTTGTCATCCCTATTCTAATTTTTTTATTCTAACAATTACCCTATCATGCCTTCTCTCACTCTATTTTTACAACTCTTGTATGTCCATTCCAGGTTTTTGCACCAGTCTACTGGCCTCCCTCGGTTTCTTTCCCTCCTACAAACAGGCAATTGCAGGTTTCCTTTGAGTTTGGCCCATAACACAACATGTTCCTACAACTTTTTAAAGTTTCTTTTGGACTTATCAGCCTGTTGGCTTCCTTACATAGGAGTAGCCACTATCGACATAACTATTATAAAGTATGGATAAGTATCCTAGCAGTAACATGCATTACTTGCCCATATGTTTTTCCTTCTATCCTTCTTCTGAGCTCTCTTGTTTATACTCTAAGAGAAAGGAAGAACTGCTGCTTTTAAGAGGGGCTCCCTAAGTCTGAGATACCTTTTGGTGGTGAATCTACTGTTTTGAGGCTTGCCCCTGGATCTAGTGGCCCACAGACAACATGGCCACCCAGTTATAAGCCCTTCTTTCTTGGATGAGTGACCTTCTCATTTAGAGGTAGCTAGCTGCTTAAGACAGTGCAGGTGGAGACGCATTGGCCTTTCCAGAGCTTACATCACTCCCAAAGATACCTCCATATTCTACCAACCCAGCCAAACCCATATTTGCTCCATATCAGGCACCAATGTTGAAAGAAGAACAAGTAAGTGCCACAATGCAGGTTAGAAGTTCTAGGATATGGCTATTGTATGTACTTGTTTTCTCAGGATCTTGGCATCAAGTGGTGGGGTGTTTCTGGGATGGGCATGGCTGGGTATATTAGGCATTGAGCTCCTTGTTGCTATCCTTTTTTAGGAACTTTGATAGGGAATGGTGATGTACCTCATTCAGTGCATGGCATTGTGGTTGTTGCAAGCATAAAATGGTCTCACTCCCACAGAAAACATCTTATTAGGAGTCAGCTGCCCATACCAGTGCTGGAGATTTGGGGGCAATTGAGAGAGTACTCAGACTCTTCTTCTATCTTCATAGTCATATTTGTCTTTCCACAAACATTAATGTTTGGTAAAAGAAGTCAGACACAAAGGATGACATACTGTGTGGCTCCATTTAGATAAAGTTCAAAAACAGGCAAAACTAAGCTCTCTTGTTTAGGAATGAATGTTTAGGTGGCAAAACTGTAGAGTAAGGCAAAAGTTAATATAAATGACAGATAGTGGATGCTGCTGAGAAAAGATTGGGATGCTGACTAGGACAGGGGCACAAGGGAGGCACTGTTCTATCTCCAGGCTGGGTGCAGGCACAGAGCATTTCTGTACAGTAATTTATTAATCTCACATCTTTCTTTATGAACTTCTCTGTGGGTATTATAGGGTAGAAGGGTAAAAGGCAGGGAAAAAGAAGCTTGTAAAGTCTCTAAGCTCTTATATGCTTAAGAACTTTCTAAAAGTTATTTAGAGTTAAATCTAAGTAGTTTTTACTGCTCACAAATCTTTCATGTATTCCATATCTTCCTTCTCATTTAGTCACATTTTGGATAATAGTCTTCAGTAATTCTTTCACATAAATTCGTGGTTAGTAAACGTTTTAGTTTTTATATGTCTAAAGTGTATTTTTTTATGTTCATGTGAATGATAAAGTGGCTGGATGTGGGAGTTCTTAAGTAATTCTTTCCTCAAACCCTGTAGCATTTGATGCTATGAGTGAGAATTCTCATGTGACTTTGATTTTCATTTCTTTGTGGGGCATCTTTTAAAAGAAATTCTTTAAGAAATAAAAGATTTTAAGATTCTTTTTCTCTTTATCCTTGGCATTCCAAATTTTGTAACTTATTTCAATTTAATTTTCCAGTAATTGAGTTGGCTTTTAAAAAATGGATTCTCATTGGCTCTTTGAATCTGAAGAGTGATTTCTTTACTTGCTAAAAATGGTCTTTAATGCTTAGATTGTTTTCTTCCATATACTGTTTTTTTGAAATCTTAAAGTAGTGGTTAGAATTTCAAAATAAATCTCAATATGTCTTAAATTCACTTGTATTTTCCATCTGTTTGTTACAATTCATGTTTTTTTCTTCTTTATGGTTGCTTATTTGTGGACTTTTAATCTATTTTAAAGTGATGAGAACCTGTATTTCCACTATAAAAACTGTAACCATATTTTTTTGAGAAGGTAAATGAAACATTAAACACTGGTACGAAGTGCATCGTCACCACTGATGAACTAAATTAGGATATGTACTGCTGGTAGGGCTGTCTGCTAGGGTTGTGTGGATCAGTTTTTAAGTTCTGCTTTTATGTTTTTTTTGTTTTTGACCCTTTTCTTTTGTTATTGTCTTGATTTTTGATGTCTTAAGAGTTTTGTTTTCTACTTCAACCATTTGTTCTCGAGCAGTTAGTCTAGTCTGATGGATTTTTCTTTTCTGTAAGCCTCTTCTTTCACTGTTTACGTCTGTTACCATAATTTGCCTTTTTTGTGGCTGTCTATAGCTTATTTGCGCTGATAATATCCAATAACAGTTATTTTTGTCCCACAGCCCTTTAAATTATATGTCCTTTACATCCTTTTGGGGAAGAGGGCCATTGAACTTTGCTTCAAGGAGACCTTGTGTTTTCTGGAAGTAGTATTCACCTAGTGGTGATCTATTCTTGTGAGAAACAAACTCCTTCTCTGTTACGTCATTCTTCCCTGTTTTTAACCAACATGCTTTTAATGAGCAATAAGGAATGTCAGAACATAAAATAAGGACTAGTAATAAAGGTGACATCCTTGCTCAAAATCTGAGTGCTAAAAAGTAGCTGAGTGTTATTGTTTAACGGACATCACCTTTGGGGCAATGTTTTTGTCATACTTTTGTCTTTAACTTTATATCTTGTTAGCATTAATTATACGTAATGGATTTATATGATCATTTCTGCTATATGTGTCTGGTCCTTCACTAAACATTTAACAGTAGTAACTCTTTAAATACATTCTTAGAATTATAAATAAAGCTTTATTAGCAATGGTATATATTTTATGTTGCTTTTTAGAAAGTTGTTTCAGCAGTCATTTGAGATTGCCAAGTAAATGGAACTTGAAGGAAACTTTTCGGGATCCCTGGGTGGCGCAGCAGTTTGGCGCCTGCCTTTGGCCCAGGGCGCGATCCTGGAGACCCGGGATCGAATCCCACGTCGGGCTCCCGGTGCATGGAGCCTGCTTCTCCCTCTGCCTGTGTCTCTGCCTCTCTCTCTCTCCCTCTGGGACTATCATAAATAAATAAAAATTAAAAAAAAAAGAAACTTTTCTTTGCTAATGAAACACAAATATGGATTTTATAATAATCCCAAGAGTTTTTCAGTTATAATATTGTGATATTAGTACTTAAAATCCACAAATTGAAGAAAAGAAATATATCTTAAGACAAATTTTATGTAATGTTTTCTGGGAAAGCTTTTTTAATAACTGCAATTATTAAAAATTGACACTTTTACTTAAAATATTGGTTATTCTCTTTGTGAAAATGAATTTCAAAAGGATAATTTAGAACAATAATAGAAGACTTAGTTCCTAATATATAAAAGTTCAAATATAAAAATGCAATTAAGTTGATGCAGTAAAAATGAAATAATAGGAAATGTGAGAATACAGTACATGTCTCACAAATCTGTATTTCTTTCAGTATTTTGCAGGTCTATGTACATGTTCAATTTAAACATTTTTTTCTCTTGGCAGTTAGGGAAGGTAATCATTTTAAAATTGAATAAAATTTAATTTTTAGAGTAGTTTTAGGTTCATAGCAATTTTGAGAGGAAGATGCAGAATTCCTATATATCCTTTGCTCCTACATATGCACAACCTACCCCTGCCCTGTCAACATCCCATGCCAGAGTGGTACATTTGCTACCCATGATGAATCTACATTGACATCATTATTGCACAAAGTCTGTAGTTTACATTAGGGTTCACTCTTGGTATGATACATTCTGTAGAGTTTGACAAATATATAATGGCACGCATCCATCATTATAGTATCATACATAGTGGTTTCTCTGCCTAAAATTCTTCTGAGCTCCACCTATTCATCCTTCTTTTTCTCCTAACTCTTGGCAGTCACTAATATTTTTACTGTCTATATGGTTTTGCCTTTTCCAGAATGTCATATAGTTGGAATCATATAATATGTAGCTTCTCAGATTGGTTTCTTTCACTTGGTAATAAGCATTTAAGTTTCCTTCATGTCTTTTCATGGCTTGGGAGCTTATTTATTTTTAGAGCTGAATGACACTACATTGTCTGGTTGTACCACAATTTATCTACTCACGTATTAAAAGAAATCTTGTTGCTTTTGGCAAGTTTTGGCAATTATGAATAAAGCTGCAGTAAGAATCTATGTGCAGGTTATTGGGCAGACATAAATTTTCAGTTCATTTGGGTAAATATCAAGGAATGTTATTGATAGATTTTATGGTAAAACTATGTTTAGTTTTGTAAGAAACCACCAAACTGTCTTTAAAAGTGGCCATATTTTACAGTCCCACGAGCAATGAATGTTTCTGTTACTTTGCATTCTTATATACTCACCACCATTTGATATTGTCAGTTTTGGGATTTTGGCATTTTAATAGGGGTATCTCATTGTTTTAATTTGCAGTTCTCTAGTGACATATGATGTGGAGTATCTTTTCATACTTGTCTGTGTATGTCTTCTTTGCTGAGATATCTGTTTAGGTCTTTTGCATGTTTTAAAAATTGTGTTGTTTGTTTTCTTATTGAGTTATGAGTTCTTTGTGTATTTTAGAAACAGTCCTTCATCAGGTGAGTCTTTCCTAAATATTTTTTTTTACAGTATGTGGCTTTCATTTTCATTCTCTTGACAGTGTCTTTGCAGAGCAGAAATTTTAAATTTGAGTTTTAACGAAGTCTAGTTTATCAGTTTTTTTCTTTCATGGATTGTGCCTTTGGTTCATAACTAAAACATCATCACCGAACTCAAGGTCATCTAGATCTTATATGCTTTCTTCTGGGAGTTTTCTAGTTTTTCTTACAAATGTTCACCTGTTCTTGCATGTTACCATTAGGACCTTTAGCATATTAATCATAGCTGTTTTAAATTCCAGGTCTGGGGTTACCCGGGTGGCTCAGTGTTTGAGCCTTTGGCTTAGGTTGTGATCCTGGGGTCTTGGGATCAAAGTCCCACATCAGCCTGCTTTTATTATTTTACTTATTTATTCATGAGAGACAGAGAGAGAGAGAGAGAGGCAGAGGCAGACACACAGGCAGAGGAAGAAGCAGGCTCCATACAGGGAGCCTGACGTAGGACTCGATCCCGGGACTCCAGGATTACAACCTGGGCTGAAGGCAGGCACCAAACCGCTGAGCCACCCAGGGATCCCAAATAAAATCTTTTTAAAAATTAAATTCATGGACTGATAATTCTAATATTCTTGCCATATCTGGTCTGATGCTTGCTCTGTCTATTTACATTGTGTTTTTTGCCTCTTGGTATGCTTTGTAATTTTTTTTTTTCTTGATAGCCAGATTTTATTTATAGGTAAGACAGACTGCTGTCAGTAGTCCTTTACTAATGTAGTGGCAGGGTGTGGAAGGAGCAGAAGTGGTCTGTAACTGATTAAGTCTCAGTCTTTTGGTGAACTTCTACTTCATGCTGTGAACTTCAGTAGAGCTTCTCAGATTTCTCCCCCTCTCTCAGGTGGTACTGGATGGCTGAAGGGAGCTGGAATTGTATGTTTCTTCTTCCACGTGGAAGGCCAGAGCAGGCTAGATTTGGGTATTTCCCTTTATCAGGTCAGGTAGGCTCTGAGAAAACCTCAGCTGTTTAGGCTCTGTTAAATAGTTTTTCCAGTGCTTGTTAAGAAGAACAGAATGCTCTGGCATGTTTCAGAATGGTTCATTTTTGTGTTCCTGTGCTGGAAGCACAGGACGTTTTTTCTTTGATGTGCACTGTGAGGACTTTGTAGAGTTCTGGAGGTAAAACTCACAAAAGTGTGGGAGTGCCCCTGGTGACTGGGTCCTTCTGGGAATTTCAGCTCTCAGAGTCATCCACACTGAACTTCCAGCTGTTGAGCAGCCACAGTTTAGGGTTTCTTCCCTAGACACTGGCTCCTCCAGAGGCTTCAAATTTGGTATATTGATTCTCTGTATCCTCCCTCTTGCCAGTCTTAACAGGCAGTGATTTGCCCTGTGACCTCACTTCTCTGACAGAGCTCAGAAGAGTTGTTGACTTTTCATTTTGTGCTACTTTTTAACTTTTTGTTAGGATGGAATGGTAACTTCTGAATTCCTAACATGCTAGATCAGAAACCAGAAGTCTCCAGTAATCATCTGATGACATAATTTCTTACAGACTGATTTTTCAAATTCTTACACATTTCAATAACCATATTGAATATTTTACAACTTAATTTTTAAAAAACCCAAAAATAAATAAAAGTGATTGCTTTATGTACTTATAGTTTATACACAGTCTCTATACTATTCATAACAGAAAAAAAGGCATAGCCTACAAAAGCTTTCCTGTATTATTGTCTAAAAAACAGAATCTGTCAAGTTTTGAATCATTATTAAATACTAAATAATACATTTTCTTTTAATCTTTAGGCAGTGCCTGTTGCTTTCTGCTCTTGAGCAAAAGGAAAACCAACATTACTTTATATAATAGTTTCATATGTAAAATAAAATCTGAGAAATAAAATTTCATTCTGAAAATGACCTTTTATAACTTTTTATTAAAGCCTAAAATCAAATAGATAAAGAGAACTAGAAGATTCATAGTTTGCCATTCAGCCAGTGCAATAAACTCAGCATTCTTTCATCTAAGATTTCCCAAGCAGTTTGGAAAGCATTAACAGGAATGTTGTACTTGAGAATAGTTTAGATTTACTTTGTATGTAATGGTTCTTCAAGACATTTTATTGGTTATATTTTCTTAAAAAGGTAGTCCTAAAATAAAATTTACTTTCCTGGGAGATATCTATAGACTATAAATATAGAACTATATTTATTCTGGGTGAGACCTAATAAAATAAAGATATACTTCAAATCATCACATGATAGTAAATAATTGCAATGTTAAGATAACATACCTAATTTGATATTTTCCATTGTTTACTATTCACTTTGTAGCAACCCGTAGTTTTGAAGACAATTAGGATAATCCAGTCAACAGTACTGTGGGGTAGCTACAATCATATATGTGAGAGAACTATTTCAAAGCCTGAAGACTAAACAGAGTATGGTAATCTATGAAACGTTCAGTTATCTAGGATCTTTTAACACTGTACTGCTGAATAAATATATATTCCAAAAGCAAATATGTTCATGTCAATGAATTATTTATCTACAGAAATAACATTAGTCAGTTGTATTCAATGATTCAAAGAGTGTTCTTCCTTTTTAAATTATTATTAAAGAAATATAGGAGAGCACTCATTTTCCACTTTCTTCAATCTTATCTCTTAAATTCTTAGCATACAAAAAAAATTCTTCATAACAAATCATGTTGTAATTGATTAATTCTTTAATCCATTACTCTACTATCTCTGCACAGTTCACTATAATGAGTTCTTGATGTTCACTGAAAAGCTTGGGCAATTCCTGTTGGCAGCAATCTGAGAAACATTTCTGTTTCCAGTATATTAAAACACTGAGTGGCAATTAAGTTATTGCCTCCATAACAATGAAATTCAGTCTGCCAGAATTACATTTTTTTCTCCCTCTAGGTTTTTTCTAGCATGTGGCTAAAACATTATTCATGTCTTATACCTCTGTCACTATCGTCTATGGATAAACAGTTTCCAAGACAAAGAGTGCCTTTTCTAGCAAAATATCAGTAAAAGTAATTAAAGGAAGTTTCAGCCCAATATAGGATACTCTAATTGTGAATTTAAAATTTAAAACATCACATGGCAACTGTAGTAAATATAATGACAAACTGTAACACGTTCATTCTTGTAAAAGGCATCACAGTATTCATAAGCTTTGTTGAAGCTCATAGATTATAGATCAATTAAACAAAAAGGTTGAGCTATAGTGTGTGAGTCTTGGAGGGATATTCTGCAGCCCTGAGAGTCAGAGCTTTTGCTGGTTGCTTGGTTGACATAGTGATCTGGTGCCCATGTTCCCATTCAGTTTGGTTCTTTGGGTGAAACTGAGTTTACTCAGCACATGATAGCCAATGCTGGTATCTTAGATCCTTGGGCAGAGTATTGTCAATGAAAGGCAGTACACATGGGGCTTAGCTGTCTCATGGGATGGGCAGGCAGCAATTACAGTGGATGTTCACAGGCAGATGCAGAGTTTTTTCATGAAGGCCCTCACTAGGCACAACAAGAGCAGCTAACATGGCTCTAAATCATGGACAAGAGTCAGTGTGGTCTGTAGGTCCCTGGATCAACTTCCAAAAGATGCTAAAAACAGGCAAAGTTCTCAGGACCCTTTAAATGCTTACTTCATTTTTCTCCATGTCATGGTTACTATATCTTTTTTCATCTTTAAGTGAAAATCTCTTTGCTCATGATGTACATTTTATTCACTTTAAGTAATTGCTAGCTCTTAGATATTATTACAAAAATGTTTATATTAACTATAGACAACTTTTTATAGTCTTTTTTTGGATAGTATTTATTTTTCCATTAGCTTACAATTCTATTTGAATATAAAGTCATATAACAAAAAAATAAAAAAAATAAAGTCATATAACATATTTTGTTAATGTTCCTGTCATGCAGCTCAAAATTGCTCTGGCTTGAGAACCTGTGGACATTGTTTGGAACAGCCTGGATGTGGCTGGTGCAATGATCCTAGTAATACAGGAAGAGGACACTGCATTGAAGGATCTTCACGAGGACCAATGAAGCTTGTTGGGATGCACAATAATGAGATGGTTCTTGATACCAGTCTTTGTCCTAAAGAAAAGAACTATGAGTGGTCCTTTATCCAGTGCCCAGGTAATAAAGATATAATGAAAATAATTTCACAGATGAAAAAAATTCTTCCCTATATCCATCTCTATTGTGTAGGTGTCATTCTATTTGGAATCGTTAAATAGGCTAACCAAATGCATGGCATACAATTATTATATTTGGCTTCATTTGAATTGCTAAGAATAATCTCATCCTATAGTCTTTATTGTTTATATGATTATAAAACCTTAGAATTCAAAGGCAATTCAGAAAATCCAGTCAGACTTCATGCTAACTGTGGGAATGTTTTAAATAATATTTATGATGGAATCAGCTTCATTTTGAATGCCATTCAGTTTTGAAGGTTAATAGTTTTCAGGTTTTTTTTTAAATAGGAAATCTGTTCTTATATTGAATGAAACCAACCTTATGAAAAAATTAATTTATTCAGTATATTTTTATTGAGTGCCTACTATGTGCCAAGGAGTGTTTTAAGTATTAGAGACACAACAGTTAACAAATTACACTAAAATCACTGCATTCATGAAGCCTAAATTCTAATTGAAATTAACAAAATTAATTATACACATATATAGATGAAGTTAAGTGCTATTGGATAAAGTGCTGTTAAATAAATAAGAGGGCACGGCTTGCGATTTGAAAAGAGTGGTGAGAGAAGAGTTCATTGAGAAGTAGCAATAAACACTTCATGTAGATGAGAGAGTGAATCATAGGAATACCCGGGGAGAGTATTCTAGAACAGGTAATAGCCTGACACAAGGACTTGGGTCAAATAGTTTATTAGGGAGGTGAACCTAGAAAGCACAACTGAGGGAACAGAGAGGTTTCAAAGAATTGGAGAAAAACCCATCATATGTCTGTTGTTAAGCTGGCTAGTGTACTTGGAAATTTGGACCCACACCCACTGGGGACCTACAAAGAACTTTCTAGAATGCTTCTCAGAGTTAACTCACCAAGGGACTAGGAGGGTGGGGTACTTATCTAAGGATTCTCATCCTCCATTGGTTGAGTGATGCCTTTGGGGGTGGGGTATTGTATTTCTGAACTGTGCCAGAATGTCTGATCAACAGCTTGTCCTGGCATTAGTGAAAATTTTGAGGCTGAAAAGTAGAGAGATACTGCAGAACTGACTTTCAGTGAGTCACTGACATTGCATTGTCCTGAAACCAAATGGACAGTGGGAATGTGGACAGAGTGCAATGATACCTGCTACATAAACTTTGAAATATGTGAAAAGCAAAAATGAAAAAGCTTTTGGTTCATGCAACATGATTGAATCTTAAATGTTTTTTTGCTTAGTGAAAGAAACCAGACCCAAAGGCTACATGTTGTATTATTTCATGTATCAAATGATCTGGAACTATGGGGATGGAAAATATCAGTATTTGCCAGGAGTAGCAAAGGTAGGGATTGATTTCAAGGGTAACTCACCAAGGAGTTTTTTGTTACGGAATTCTTTATGATACTGTGTTAGGTTATACATGTCTCCATGCATAGGTCAAAAACCCGTATTGTGTACCACAAAGAACCAATTTTCCTGAATGCAGATTAAAAAGGAAAGTTGACTAGAATATCAGAGGATCCCAGGATGTAAACTGTGACAAGTAAATTTAATTATATTACAAATACCATAGCATCATAAAAAAAAAAAGAAAAAAAAAGAGCAGATCTAAGTAACTTCGGAAGACAGTTTGGATACTTTAAAGCTAAAGAAAAAAACTATGTAAAATTGTATTCTGGTTAGTAAATTTGTTTGTCACATGGTATAAATTAACATTTCTAACAATACTTTATATGTTTACTAGGTTTGGGCAAATAAATTGTGTTTAATCTAAGTTAGGTTTTCCGTTGTCAGAGAAAGAGGTTAAAAATATGTATAAAGAGTGAAGACTACAAAGAGCGAAGACTACAGTGAATCCTGTAGTGTTGGGTTAGGGTCTGAGATAATAGTATGAATTCTTGTTTATTTTAATATATATACACAGAAGTAAATATGGATATGTGTGTATACATAGGTTAGTATATGTACATATATTTCCTAATTCTTTTTGTCAAGAGGATCTAGAAGCCATGACATCCCAGTAGTCTACATCTTGGTTTCTAAATACTGTTTTCTATTGAGAGGAACCAGGGCTCCATAGAGAAATGGGTAATTCTAGCGCTGGGACAGGGAGAGTACATGATGAGCCCAGAGGATTGTTTGGTGTCAGAAAGTAAGAAACAACTTAAAAAAGGGGGGTGGGGGTGGATCCCTGGGTAGCTCAGTGGTTTGGCTCCTGCCTTTGGTCCAGGGCGTGATCCTGGAGTCCTGGGATCGAGTCCCGCGTCGGACTCCCTGCCTGCTTCTCCCTCTGCTTCTCCCTTTGCCTGTGTCTCTGCCCATCTCTCTCTCTCTATGTCTATCATGAATAAATAAATAAAATCTTAAAAAAAAAAAAGGATGGGGTCATGATCATGCCAAAGGGACACAGCGCCAACTTAAAAGAATTCTCAATGGATGAAATATGAATAAAATATGATTGCATTGCATTTTTATTCAAAAAGCAAAATAATCTCCTAATTCTATACTGATTTAAGTGATTTAATAAATAATAAATGGGTGAGGATGAACAAAAATTCTTTACAGAAATATTCTAAATAATAAATGTAGAAGGAATGAGAGAAATTAAAAAATCACTGTTAGAATCCCGCAGTAATAATTGCTATAAGAATAATCCACTTAGGGCAGCCCTGGTGGCTCAGCAGTTTAGTGCGGCCTTTGGCCCAGGGTGTGATCCGGGAGACCCAGATCGAGTCCCATGTCGGGCTCCCTGCATGGGGCCTGCTTTTCCCTCTGCCTGTGCCTCTGCCTCTCTCTCTCTCTCTCTGTGTGTCTTTCATGATTAAATAAAAAAAAAATCTTAAAAAAAAAGAATAATCCACTTAATATTGAAATTGGGGAGTGAAGCCTTAAGGAGAAACAGGATATTTGTGTTGCTTTAAAGCTTCTGGTAATCACCTCCCCCCCCCCAAAACCAAAATATCTATTCATGTCTTATGCCCATTCCTTAACTGGATTATTTTTTTTTGGGGGGGGGGGTGTTGTTTGTTAAGTTCTTTATAGATTTTGGATGCTAACCCTTTATTGGATATGTCATGGGCAAATATCTTCTCCCATTCTGAAATTTGCCTTTTAGTTTTGTTGATTGTTTCTTGGGCTGTGTAGAAGCTTTTATCTTGAAGTCCCAGTAGTTCATTTTCTTTTGTTTCCCTTGCCTGTGGAGATGCGTCTAGTAAGAAGTTGCTGTGGCTAATGTCAAAGAGATTACTGTCTGTGTTCTCTTCTAGGATTTTGATGATTTCTTGTCTCACATTTAGGTCTTTCATACATTTTGAATTTATTTTTGTGTGTGACATGAGAAAATGATCTAGTTTCATTCTTCTGCATGTTGGTGTCTTGTTCAGTTTTTCCAACATCATTTGTTGAAAAAACTGTCTCTTTTCTGTTGGATATTCTTTCCTGCTTTGTTGATTAGCTGACCATATAGTTGTGGGTTCATTTCTGCGTTTTCTGTTCTGTTCCATTGATCTTAAGTGCCTGTTTTTGTGCCAGTACTATACTGGCTTGATCACTATAACTCTGTAATATAACTTGAAGTCTGGGACTGTAATGCCCCCAGCTTTGCTTTCCCTTTTCAAGATTATTTGGCTATTTGTGATGCCATACAAATTTTAGGGTTATTTGTTGTCGCCTTGTGAAAAATGCTTTCGGTATTTTGGTAGAGATTGCATTAAGTGTGTAGATTGCTTTGGGAAGTATAGATATTTTAACAATATTTTTCTTCCAATCCATGAGCTGAGAATATATTTCCATTTTTGTGTATCCTCTTTAACTTTATTCGTGTTTTGTAGTTTTCAGAAAACACATCTTTTACCTCTTTGGTTAAATTTATTCCTAGATATCTTATGATTTTTGGTAGAACTGTAAATGGGATCAGTTCCTTGATTTCTCTTTTTGCTGTATCATTATTGGTGCATAGAAATCCAACAAATTACTCTATACATTGGTTTTGTATCCTGTGATTTTAGTGAGTTTCTTATCAGTTTTAGCAGTTTTTTTGGTGGCGTTTTTTGAGTTTTCTACATAGAGTAGCTTGTTGTCTGTGAATAGTGCAAATTTGATTTCTTCCTTGCTGATCTGGATGTCTTTTACTTCTTTGTTGTTTAATTGCTGAGACTAAGACTTCTAGTATTATGCTAAATAACAATGATGAGAGTGAAAGTCCCTGTCTTATTCCTGCCTGTAGAGGAAAAGCTCTCAGTTGTTCCCCATTGAGGATTATAATAGCTGTGATTTTTTTTTTTTGTTTATAGCCTTTACGGTGTTGACATAGTTCCCTCTATCCCACTATATTGAAAGTTTTTATCAAATGTGGATGCTATACTTTGTTAATTGCTTATTCTGCATGTATTGAGATTATATGGTTCTTAACTCTTTTTTTGTGAATGTGTTGTATCATGTTGATTGATTTGCTAATATTGAACCACCCTTGCAGCCCAGGAATAAATCCTACCTGATTATGGTAAATGATTCTTTTAATGTGCTGCTAGATTCAATTCACCAGTATATTGTTGAGAATTTTTGTGTACTTGTTCATCAGGGATATTGGCCTGTATTTCTCCTTTTCAGTGGTGTCTTCATCTGGTTTTGTAATCAAGGTAATGCTGGCCTAGTAGAATGAGTTTGGAAGTTTGGAACAATTTGAGAAGAATAGATATTAACTCTTCTTTAAGTATTCTGGTAGAATTCCTGTGGGAATGCATCTGGCTCTGAACTTTTGTTTGTTGGGAGATTTTTGATTACTGATTTAATTTCTTTGCTGGTTATCAGTCGTTCAAATTTTCTGTTTCTTTCTGTATCAGTTTTGGGAGTTTATATGTTTCTAGAAATTTATCCATTTCTTCCAGATTGTCCAATTTGTTGGCATATAATTTTTTATAATATTCTCTATTTTTTAAGATTTTATTTATTTATTCATGAGAAT